TTTTCGCATATCTCTCTCTTTTTCTCGAAAGAAAAAAAAGAAATAACGTTGCTCCTTTCGACGAGCAAGACACGCGCCATTGTTGTGAATCGGACGATCAGGCCGAGGACCTTAAAGACCGACAATGTGTTTACAATGAAGTCGAGAATCCGCTCCGTTTTTGCTAGAACGATTTTCAAACATACGTTTCACGGCGATCGAAAGATCGGATCTATCTCACTTTGTTTGCCGATTTGCCAGGCTCAATGCTCACTTTATATTGTTGTAGAATTCTTACTTAGATTTCACCTAAGATCCCTCGATTGGATAAAAATATCTTACTTACTTACTTGAATGTTTCACGTTTCTTATTTTTTTTTTCTTTTTTTTTTATCAATCCAAACGATTTTTTTTACGTTATCTACTTCTTTTTGACAAACAAATTAATCACTTACGTTTATTTATGGTTTGATAAATCAACATTTTTATTTAAGTATGATTAATAATTTTACAGTATTTTTAATTAAAAGTTGAATCGTATCTAATTTTATTACAACTCTAACGAAAATTTTTTATATTCAGAATAGCAACCACCAATTTTTTAAATGTATCAATCTAATCAATAACATACTAAATTAATGATGTCATTAGCGACTTATATAATTTTTGACAAAAAATAAATAAATAAAAATACGAAAGGAACAAATATTTTTGTTGTCAAGCAAAATGCAATTTTTTAGTTTCGCCATTTCTATTCTTTTTAATTTTTTTTTTTATTTGATCATTCTGACGGAAAATTATTCAATAAAAATCCAATAAATGTACCCATACGATCAGATTCGTCGTGACTCGTCAAAAACAACTGGAGAGAGTGCACTTTTAAAAGGAAACAAAAAAAACGTTTCCTCTACTCTCATTAGGATATCGTTGCCATAATTGCAGCTTACCTTTGGTGAACAAAATTGAAACATCATTTTACCTAAAAGTATAGGATCGCGGAGTTATAAGGGCTCCCAGAAAAATGGCTTAAAAGAGAGTTTCGGTTATACGTTTGGAGATACGTACACACTTTTTTGCTTCAAATAGGAGGAGGTAGGTTGAAACCGTTTAACCGTCCTAGCTACCTGAGTTTTTCACCGTCTGGTTAGTAATCCATCGAGCCACTTGAGAGACGAGAAAAAAGAAAACGAAAAAGAGAGAAAGATAGATAGATAGATAGATAGGTAGATAGATAGATAGAAGAAAAAAAAGCATGAAAGAACGTCCTGTGTTAAAAGTTTAAAAAGATCAAACATTGGGGGTTTAAATTAGCTAAAACTGGAAGTAAAGTGCCGAGTGAGAAGGGATAGGTATAGAAACGAAGCCAAAGTTAGAAAATAAATGTAGTTGATCTAATACCGTTGCTTCCTAATTCTTTCTACTCTTTTATCTCTATCTTTCTCATTCGTTCTTTCTTTGTCAGATATTTATCGCTGTAAGTGGGATCCGGTTAAATGCAACTCTGATCTGATTTCCACTAGAGACTTAAAAGCTTTTTCTCCATAGCTACTCTTTTTTCTCTTTCTATCTCTTTTGTCTATCTCTGTCTGTGTTTCTAACGTTGGAGCCACAAACAAGATTGGTGGCCGAGATTGGGCGGGCTGGAAAATGGCGTTGTCTAGGAATCGTTGTTGTCGACTCTTCGGAATATTCGCGAAGAGCAGAGATAAGTAAATTCTATGTGACACGGCACGTTCGTGGGAACATTGTTGTTGTCCTTCAAGAGAGACCCTTTACCGAGATTTTATCTCTTATCCTTTCTCTCTCTTTCTCTCTTATTCGTTCTAACTACACGTGTCACGATCCTTTCTCCTATTATTAAATACATCTCACCGGTTCAAAATATATTTAATCAGAAGAATATACATTTTTTATTTAACATACCTTTCCTGTAATTTCTAATTTTTATATTTCAACAATTTTTTCAAATTTAATAAATTTCTTTTTTATATTTGTTCAAATTTTATATTTTATATTATCCCTAATTCTTGTAATTTCAATTTGAAAAATATTTTTAATTAAAATTAAATTATCATATTCCCATAATAACTAAAATTCTTATAACGCTTTAAAAATATATTTGAACATTTTTATTAATGTCTGTATTCCTCAATATAAATATACACTAACATTAAGTAAAACCAACATAAGAAAATCTTCATCTTAAAATAGAATCGGCAAAAAGAAATTGATCTATCCAATGGTATCTTTGATATTAGAAACTGTATACAAAGTAATAGAAATCCATAGGAAGTAGGGAAAGTTCTTTTTTATTCTAACGGCCGAAACGTGAATTCATCCGCAACAACGTATAATTTAGCTCGATATAGTTAGATCGATTTTGAGCAAGCTACTGTGTGTTTCGCTAGAGGCGGATATCTTTTGTCGCGCGGTTTTGTGGGCGTACACTTCCCCCCAGGCTAAAACGCCAAATGGTAACGACGATACGCGGAATCGAGCGTGGAATGGGAAACAGGGATTTATTTTGTGTCCTCTCGTTGGTTTTTGGTCTACGGGAATGGAAAAGAAACAATTTCCAAGCTCGACGCGCGCCAGTTCTGCTAACCGGAAAAGCGTTCCCGCTTTTTGCTGCTTTGTCACCAGGCAAATCCAGAAAACTCATGAAAGGAACGTTCTGCGCGGATAAAAATCTGTTATCCACTCGTTTCCTCTTTTTTTTATTTCTTTCTTTCTACTTTTTCTCATTCTTTTTCTTCTTTCTTGTTTTTCCATCAACCCCTCCATCCTCTCTCTCTCTCATTGGATAACAAAAGTTCTTTCTCCATTGTAAATTCAAGATAAAAATCTGTGTACAAATTCGCATTTTAATATTTTTCTCGCTTTGCCATTAAATAGAAATAAAAATAATATATATATTATGAATCGTTTAATTCTTATTCGAACAAATTCATTTATATTAATTTCGTAGATAGATCGATTGAAACTTTGTTAGAAAATATTTCTATTAACGATAAAGAAAGAATTGTTTGCATTATCAAATATAGTTCTCGTTAGACGTACACTCTTATATAAAAATAATAATAATAAAATATAAGTAATCGGTCATTATGAATAATCTTTTAAAATGATATCATCGTAAATGATATATATAGAACATTAATAGGAATCTACGTCTGAGGTAGTCCGAAGTCAGTGAAATGTATGAAGCACGTATACACACAGAAGCATGGAAGGCTCGGCGTAAGCGGTAAGCTTTACCTCATTTCTGGCAATTACAGGGGATGCCAGAATCCGCCGCAAGAATCAACCCACACCGGGCACCCTCGTACACTCTGTGTTTACGCGCATTTCGTCTCACTCGTTCTAAATCTGTGTAAGTAGATATATATATATACATATGGGTGTGTGTACAAGTAAGTATATTAAGGTGTATAGGTGCGTATGTTGAGAACGTTTGTATATCAGTGAAAACCAACCCTCGGTACGTTCGCTTTTGCGCACATCTACAATCCGTTACCACTTCCCTCCTCTCTTACACAAACATACACACAGTCTACTAAAGATCTACACACATCCATCCATCCATCCATACATACATACATATATACATACACACATATACAAATGTAGAGAAAGTGGAAACGCACGTAGGTTGTCACAGAAGCCAGAAGAAAACTCGTCGTTCGACCATTCCACCCCTTTCGGAGTCTAACGCAAGCCGAAAACTCTCCCCACCGTGTTAGAATATCAGATTGGAGGTTGGGTAAAGAATAAAATGTAAGAGTGGGATTGAGCACCACTGACTCGCCATGTTCGTCGATCTCTACTACCATTGGTTAGTAGGAACCTCGGGCTTTCTTACCATTGGCCGATCTAAACCACGCCCATTACGTTTAACTCCAGGATCCACCTCCCCTCCTTCCCTCCTCTTTCTTCCCTCACGGTTCTATCTATCTATCGTGTGGGCTCTCTCGACTAAGAGTAGTTGTGTGCAGCTGCAACAAAGGCCACCCCGCTAGACGACGGCCGGCTAGTCCTCGAGTAGGACGCACGCTCTCTCACTTCTCAAACCTTCGATCCCTTACATACGACATTACGAATTTTGGGTTAAAGAGAGACAGATATACACACTCGGAGAAAGAGAGACAGAGAGAGAGAGAGAGAAAGAGAGGGAGACAGAGAAGCAAACAGCAATAGATAGAGAGAGAGAGAGAGAGAGGAAACAGAAGACAGAAATCACAATCTATCGAACCAAAGATCATTACAATTTTCACCTAACTCGTGTCAAGATCTTAACAGTTTTAACTAAACAAAAAAACTATACTTAGTAAGTGATTAATTCTAACCAAGTTTTATATTTCAACCTAGTGTTTTGAGTTATTGACACGTCAAGAAAAAGGATTCTAATTAAAATTGTTAATTGTGCTACAAAGATCAGAGATAAGAAGAAAAAGGAAGGGAGAGAGAAAGAGAGGGGTGATTTGTTTTTATATATTTTTTTTTGGTGCGGTGTTAAATAATATGACAAGATCCGTGTAAAACGGTGCGTTTGTTTTCACCGTGAAATGTCATCGTGAAGATAATTCGTTAGTTTGATTTCTAAAAAAGAAACAAGTGATATTTCGGACAGTGAAATAATAAATTATTCTCATGACATTTGAAATAAATTCATTGATATTATAAACTGTAATAATCGTTTAATTGCTTACGAGTGGCCTTGAAAATTCATAACGTGTGAGAAACGATTGAGCAAAATAAAAAAAGGAAAAAAAAAGAAAATAAACACGGGTTGTTTCACGCGTCGTGGAACGCCAAAAAATGTCCTCTCGTTGTTTTCTACGCTAAAACGTGTGTTGTCTCGTACTCGGAAAGTGAACTTGTCGTTCAATCGAATGGATCAAAAATAAAATCAAAATATAATCAAAAAACTACCTAAAAGGTTCACGATAAATCAGTGACATCATCATCATCATAATAATTCCGTCATCTTCTTCTTCGGATTTGTCATATTTAACACGGCGATGGATTCGCAGCAGCTCGTTGAAACGAGCTCGCAAAACAGTCAGGACCTTGTCCTGCCAAAACCAACCAGCAGCACCCCACGACACAGCATCGATGCTATACTTGGCCTGGCTAATCACAAAAGGAATCATCAAGAGATGGAAGACAATAATCGCGAGACTCAGGAGAACGCTGGTACTCCTTTGTTTATCACACACGTACACACATGCACACGCATACACATTCATACATACATACATGTATTTCTTTTAATATATTTTTTCCAAATATTTTTTCAATCAACATTTCTTTAAAAATATTTTTCATATTTTTTTATTATTTTATTTTAATTATTAAAACTCTGACTTAATTAAAAAATTAAAAGACTTATTATTTATTAAAATTATGTTGTGTTATTTAATTTGATTATTATTATTATTCAATTCGTAAAGGTTTTATTTTTTTATGAAAATAATTTGATAATATCATTGATATATTGTATTAATAATTTAAAATGTGTCATTTGTTTTAAATCAGATTACAATATTGTATTCTTTTTAATACAATGATTTTTATCTGAAATTAGAATGAATTAGGGTTATTTAGGTAGTACGGTATAATCGTTTGAATGGTCCGACGGTGCACGCTCGTTACCCATTAAAGAGAATATGAGTTATTTTTCTTTTTTGAAAATAATTTATTCTCTTAATTTTATCATAGAAACGTTCAAGATTAAAATGGAAATAATTCAATTTAATATTTGGATATAATATTTGAGAATGATGTCAGCATAAATTGATTGGCCTCGTGCGTGTATTTTTACTATACGGCTATCATCACATATCATTAAAAACAGCTACGTAGATACGTGTCTGCCGATTATTTTGCAAATGTGTATATACGTCCTGTGTATTTGTGGGTGTGGGTGGATATTATATGTGTGTGTGTGTATGTGTCGTTCAAGTCGCACGGATAGCTTGCCGGTAATGTTAGCGTATAATTGGAAAATCGTTATTATCGTTGACGATCTCAACTCCGACGACACGGCAGCCGCGTTAATTCGCAGTCCGAGTATAGTCAAACCGAAGCCCTTTAGAAAGTCTTTCCCACTGACTTTTTTTCTCTCATATCTAACTATCTATACATATACATAATTATATACGGCGAATGTATGTTTATATATATTAACATGCACATATATGTGAATTTAGGTTCTCATTTTCCAATTTACTTACGTTGATTTACTACGAATAGTTTTTTTATTTCTTAAACATTTAAACGAATCATTTTTTTGTATTATTTTAATATTACAAATCGTAATGAATACGTGTTTTAATTTTTTATATTTTAGAAGTTGCAATATAGATGATTAGATTATCCTTAAATTTACTAAGATAAAATTTTATTTAAAAAAAAATATTCAATATATTATAAGTAATAAAATATACTTGTTAATAAGTTAAATAATTTTAACTTAAAAGATAAAATGATTATATGACGTATATGACTACAAAATTTACCATAAAAATTTGTCAAATAAATTAATACGAAATGACATTAAATAAGATCGATTTAAACGATTAGATAATCGATGATTAAATGACGTAACTGTTAACTCACATAAATATTATTAATGTATATAGATAGATATGGTTGTATATAAACACAAATACACACAGACACATGAACATGTACATATATATGTCGGTCATCGAGTAAACGTATATCCAATAATTCCAATTTCGAGGCACACTTTCGTCTGGAAGGTCGAATTTATCCTTCGAGCAATGAAAACGAGCGTCGTTTTCGTGTCATTCTACCTACCGCGTTCGCGTTTCGTGCAGGTGCACGTATCGACGCAACACTTTCGGTGGAAAGGTCAGAATCGACAAAACAATTTTGTACGGGTGCTACTACCGTTATCGAATGAGAAACAGAGAGAGAGAGAGAAGACCACGAGAGGGTGAATTGAGAAAGAAAGAGACGGATAGAAACAATGACGAGTTTAGGGGCCTAATAAAAGTAAAACAGTTATGGGAAAATAACAAAAAAATCACATAATCGAAGTCGTACGAAACTAATGGGGGGGGGGGGAGAGGAACGGAACTTTTCTTTTATTCCTGTCAAATAAAATAATAAGAACAAAATTACACTATTCGCTAATAATAAATTTAATAAAATAAAATGACTATGTTAGGTGGGGGAAGATATAGGAGAAATTGAAATCGTAACGAGACACGTGGGGTATATTTTTATTATATTTTTATATATTATTATTATATCATTATTATTAAATATTATTATTAATAATAATTGGCATTAGGAACTCGAAAATTCATTGCATACGCAAATATAAAAGAAAATAATAATTGGATAAAAATTATTTTAAAAAAAGTAGTGAAACGAAAAGAATAACATTTACTTAAACATTACTTAATAATACATGAAAAGAAAACAAATTTGTTGCAATAAATTTCCATGAGGGATCATTATGGTTGAACATGATAAAGTTTATAAAAAGTTACATCGAGAAATAAATTTCAATATCAATCCAATTAATCTCACATAAGTTGTACGATGATGAGAGAAAGAGAAAGGGAAGGAGGATGGGACTGAGTGAGAAAGAAAAAGAAAAAGAAAGAAAGAAAGAAAAAGAGAGAGAGAGAGAAGGGTGACGTGTGATTTTTGGCAAAGGTTGACGTTAATTGATTCTTAATCGCCGACGTCAGATCGAGATGCCCATCTGTCCAGATGACAAAAGGATACTACTCGTGGTAGCTGCTTCTTGATAAGAAACTAAAAAAACAAAAAGAAATAATAATTAAAAAAAAAAACAAATAAAATAAAAATAAAAGAAATAATAATGGAGAGAGAATAATAAACGTGAAGAGGTGATATTTTGAGGGATAAATGAACGTAAACAAAATATTCGGAAAAGACAAGGAATAAAAAACAAAATTAAAATAAAAAAAAGAAAAAGATAAATAAATAAATTTTCTATATTTGTGAGAAGTAGGAGTGGAGGTGAGTAAATGAATTAAACAAAATAAAAAATAAATATTATTTAAAAAGACAATGAACCAAAAAAAAACGAATGAAAATAAAATGTAAAAAAGAAGAAAAACAAAAAACATTAAAAAAAAATAGGAAGAAGAATAACTTCGAAAGAGTCTGCTTAGTCGTGGTCCAATCTTGTCCTGCTAATCGAATTATCATTAATTATGATACCGCGTGCGAGAAGGATAGGTAAAAGCTGAACAGCGTAGTCTCTGCTAATAAGTACGGAGGAGAACGGTTTCTTTAGATAAAAAAAAATCTAAAGAAAGAGGAAGAAAGATATATATATACATGATAAAGAAAAAAATAAGACAAGAAAAAAAAAGAATTAGATGGAAGCGGCTTTAAGTCAGTCGCTTCTTAAGAGTGAATTGACGTGCCTACTAATGGATCGTGCCTTCATCATCTGCTTTCTTTTTCATCATCTTCATCTTCATCTTCTTCTTCACCTTCTCCTTCTCCTCTTTCTTCTTCTTCTTATTTTTCATCATCCTCTCTTTTTCCTTCTTATTTATTTTTTTTCTGTATGTGTGAGTGTGTGTGTGTATATGTGCATGTGTGTGGTTATGGGGTGGGTGTATATATATATATATATGTATCTTTGTCCTTTTTATCTTCTTTTAAGGAAGTTTTATCTTAAAACGAAGTTAACCAATCTAGTATCGTCAAGTAAGACGGATCACCTTTTTGAGAAGGCAGCAAAAGAGTATACACGATTGAATCATTAGGATAATTGGAGAACAGGTGTTCCTTTAACGTCTTGATTAATTTCTTTCGGTTTATACGGTAATTATCGGCATCGTTTGGACGATTAAACTAAACTCTTTTTCTCCTCTACTATCTTTATCACACTCTTTTCTCTTTCTACTTTCTTCTATGGCGTATGTTTCTATACACACACATATATAAATACACGTGTGTGTGTGTGTATGTGAATAATTTTACTCACAAGCGGAGAACTCGTTAAAATGCAAAACGCCAAGTCCACCGTTCGAGATTAGTTTCTTTTTATTTTTTTTTTATTTTTAATTTTTCCTTTCATTCTTTTTCTCTCTCTCTCTCTCTCTYTCTCTCTCTCTCTCTCTCTCTCTCTYTCTCTYTMTCTYTCTCTYTYKCWCWYKATCTTTCTYYTTYGYKTTTMAYWT